ACATTTCATTTTTTCTTAGTCTTTAGTGAAACATTTTACAAATTATTTTCCAGTCAAAATTTGACCTTTTTAAAAAATTGCAATGGGTAAATCAATGCTTAAAATAAGAAATACATTGGATTTTGAAAACATTAATATTGAAGTAGGTTGAACCAAAAATTCTGAAAATCAAAATAAAAAAGTATTTATTCAAGAAAATCAAAACCGCAAGTCAATCGGATCTTTCTTCCTAGAGTTCTCGTGTCGGTACATTTCTCTCGTCTGCACGAATACAATACTGATGCCCCATTAGAAGAGACCCAGTAAGTGGAGGTAAACCACACATTGCATTTAAAAAATGGAGATTATGTAACAACAGTATTTAACGATCTACATTTAATGACAAGTGGTGGTCTTTAGGCATTCCCGGTTGTTACATTTGGTGACATCAGTAGCTAAAGAATTACATTGTTACATTAACAACCAGTTAGTTTATGGACCATTTTTGCTAAGTCCTTAACTACTTCTTGTCATTATACTATTAAGGGATAAAAGCAGCACCGTCACCAGTCCTAGGGTTCTGGGGTCCTGAAGGAACATCCATTCGCCAGTGGCAAAAGAAAATATAAAAATAATAAAATACAAAAAATCGTCCCTTAATAGCATGTGTCGAGCGGTTTAGGCAACTGACTTAAGACTCTCAAGTCCTTAAGGGTAGGAACGCTGAGGCTTAATATGCTCTGACTATTTCTTACTGGTTTTTGGAAAATGGTGAGAATAAAATAGGTTAATAAACAGAAAGATGTATATTTAAAATATGAGTAATAAAATAATTGACATTTTTAATAAATCAGAACAATCTTTATTTTTGAAATAAGACAAACAGAAATTACCACCCACAATTGTAAATCTTTAATATGATAAACCCTTTAATATAATATAATCTATGATAAAACTTTAATTTAATAAAACCTTTTATGTCACAAAACTTTTAATATAATAAAACTCTTTATATGATAAAACTTTAATTTAATAAAACCTTTTATGTCACAAAACTTTTAATATAATAAAACTCTTTATATGATAAAACTATAATTTAATAAAACCTTTTATGTCACAAAACTTTTAATATAATAAAACTCTTTATATGATAAAACCCTTAAATCTGATAAATAAACTTGGGACGAAAATGAAAGAAATAGCATTTGAAGAAAACTAATTAACTGTTTTAAAATACATAACCCAAACAAGAGATTTAAACATATTAAAATAAAATAGATATTACCTTTGAAACAAAAACACTATACACACACTTTACTATATACAATAAGGCGCTTCAGGACATAGGGTCCCGAAGACCAAGTAAATACTAAGTTACATTTTCGGGCATAGGTTTGGCCCAACGGCCGCCACTTGAGTCTTTTGTATCAACGATTGACTCTCTATTTATATCAACCTTTACGAGATTATTTTAAAAGAAACTTATTTACCTTAGAGATTATTCACACGATTTGTCCTTTAATTTACTAGTACAATGGAACTATTTCTAATTGTTTGGTTTTAATAAGTATGTTGTGTTAATTTAATAGAAATTAAAAATATTAGATATTTTTGGGAGTTTTGTTAAATTCTTTATATTTTAAAAATAATAATGCCAATTATTACAATTATCGTAATCTCGCGTTTAGATACATGCTACATACGTCATAGCAAATGCATAAAAATAGAAAACATTTTGTGTATGTTAAGTATATTAAAATTGTTTAAAGATCTGAAAAAAACCAAATTTGTTATGCGTAACTAGAGGGTGTTTGGTTCAAAAAATACAAGTTTGGTTCGCCCCTTATTTATGGATTAAATGTAATTCTCAAATTAAAAATTTCTTCGTATTTTTATTAATAAAACTTTTATTGAATACCTGTTTTCGTTCCAAATTGAAATATCAAGCAACTGCGCACTAATGGGACACATTGGTTTATTATTATTTCGTCAAGTATGTCTTAAAAATATTTACGCAAGTGTAACAACCACCGTCACTTAGAAAGTAACTGCTGTCACTAAATAACAATGTAGTGGCCAAAAAGACTAGTCATCAACGGGGGTACACTGTAAGTGTAAAGGCAGCGACTGTCACCAGTCACAGTCAAGGGATAAGGTCCTTAGAGTTTATCTACTCACACCGTGACAAAAATAGGAAAAAGAAAAAATAAAATAATAGGTTTAAAATAAAAGATTTTCCCCCGTGATGAATAGTGCAAGCGGGTTAAGGAAATGGTTCGGCAAACTGATAATAGGCACCTATAGTCCTTACTGGGGAGTGGGTTCGCCGGGGCTTCCCAAAAGTGCCCAGAAGCATATTCGTATCAAGCGTCCTGTATTGCAGGCTCACCTTTTCCGAGTTCCCTCGAATCCGTTCAGGGGGTCGATTCTCGACTTTTTTCTTATATGAATTTGGTTGATTTTCCTATAGGAAAGTAGGTTACGTATTCTGGAGTCAAGTTGTAGGAATATTTTCCTAAGCAGTTATAGGAAATGGTTTCCCATGCTTATGAGGCAGGGAATTTAATTTTCCTACAAGATTTTGTAATCGCGCTTACGCAATAGTAGCTTGTTTAACTTGGTTTATTGATATATGCTTACTTTTTAGGCGATTCCAAACTCATTTAAAAAAGGAACATACTACATATATTATTAAAAGTCAATTTTAATTTGACGAGTAAAATTATCCTATTTGAAATGTTTTTAAGTCAATAAATAAAATAAACCAAAATCCATAAATTTTTATGAAAATTTACCAAAGAAACTAGTTACTTTTGAGTATTTTTTTTGCGAAATTCGCACATCAGGATTCCTCGACGGAGCTCAAACCAAATTATAATGATGTATGATGTGAATTTTACTATAATTTGCTAAATATTGAAAGTATTATACTTAGTTACTTTCTTTAGTTTTTACTTATAAATATAAATAACGGCAGGGCCGCCGAGAGCCAAGCCGGGCCCCGTGACAAAAAAACAGCTCTTCAAACAAAAACTTTTCCTCCTCTATTTGTATTCAATTTAAAAAAAAAAGCTTCCGAACCTAAAACTTCCCCCTCTCGTCTTGTGTCGAATTTCTTTTCTCATACAAAACAAAAATTCCAGTTGCCGGGCCCCCCTTATACCGCTGCCGGGCCCCGGGAATTAGTCCCGGCTACCCCCCCTCTAGTCGGCCCTGAATAACGGTAATCACAATGGTAGTCCTGAAACTTTTTCGTTTTCTCTTTTTGCTGCTAATAAAAACTAGTACATCCAGTACATCCAGAAAATCAAATATTTTTGACAAATTGTCAAATTGCCTTGTTGCCAACTGTTAAACAACTATAGTTAACTGAAATAAATACATTCCATTGGCTCGTTTTTGCGTTATCTTGAAATTATCAACGACATACTGAAATTGGAACTCCTACAGGAAATTGGATTCCTATTGTACTCGAGAATACCGACAACTAAAACTGTAGGAATATTATCATAGGAATTCATTTTCCTCGGAATCGAATTCCTACAACTCGAGAATCGACCCCCAGGTATACAGCGCGAGGGAACGCATTGTTCAGGCTTTTCGCGTGGTACTCAGCGTTCGATATCGCAACATATTGTTTTTTTAAGAAAATACACAATTTGCTTATTTTAAAAACTTAGTTTTTCCTAAAGGTATATTTTGCTCCACGCACAGGAGTAAATTGTGGGGTGCTTTCGCCTTCTTTTTAACTAAAGAAGAAACTTTTTGTCCACTTTGCACTTTTCTACGTCCACATGCATGAACCTTTCTTCTTGAAACTGATGTTGGTTGAACCGATATCTTTTTTCCTTTTCGGCATATTTTTTTGTCGAATTGATCCTTGTGTCTGTACGTGGTTTAAAAGCATTGTGTAACGCTGGCATTAACGTTGACTCTGACCTGCACGCTTGATACGAATATGCTGCCCGGAGTGTCTTTTGACAAAAGGGAAAGGTAGACCTGATGAGGATGGAATATATATTCCACAGTTATGTATGTATTGGTTAAGAATTAAAAGGTACATCTAAATAATTATTGAATTATCGAACTTTATGGAACTCGGGCTCAATTCAACAACTCGTAACACACATAAGATAAAAACAGGTGAATGTTTAACAACTCAATATATTTAAACAAGTAAAAATTTTAAATATGAAAACCGATGAAATAATATCATATGTTTAGAGGTACAAGATTCACCCTGAGGTTCTCGCCTGATTCGGTAAATCATCCGACGATATTAAAGTACAGATAACTACTATAAAAATAAATTGAAAAATCTCGTTGGATCTTGTAGCTACCAAAGTCAAAAAAATAAACCATATCACTTCCTATAAAATCTACGAAGAGAGGTAACTAAATAATTTGGCAAATGTCACAATTTTAATACAGTGACAGAGGAAGGCTTACCTTGCTCAAAACGTAGTTTCGATTACACTTAGTTTAAAATTGGTTGGCAGATATTTATTATTTAATTACAACTTTAAAAATTACTTTAAAATTCCCAAGATACGCCTTATCGGCGTCGGTGAGTAGTCGGACAGCGGAACGCCTGGCCACTCAGTAACTGTCTCTTCCCCTCGTTTCCAAATCATTTAAATATTAGTTGAGACGTGCGTTCTTTGAAATTTTTGATCAACTCATCTATTTAATTTACATTGATATTATAATAACTGTTATTCATATTTCTAGGTCAAATGAAGGAAAGTACTTGAAAATTTATATGAGATTTTTATGTAAAATCTTTAGACTAATTAAAATAATTGCCAAATTATTACACAAGTGGGATAGGTTTCAATTTTTCTTTTTTTTAAGGGTTGGTTTGTATTAAATTCAGTGCCATGTGAAGTTATCAGAAACATAATTCGTATATCACTTTTTGTCGGTGATAGCCTACTTTGGAAACATTTTTTGTGAAATCACTCTTTATTAATATTACTATAGGATAATAATCGTTTATTTGTAACTATGATTATTTTCAGTTAATTTGGAGCAAGAAAAATGATAAGAATGAATTTGTTAATATTACCATTCTACAAATGGAAGAACTAACTGACAAGATAACAACATGTGTAGAAAACGACAAACGATTTATTGCCAAAAGAAATGGAACGGTAAGTGTAAAAAATTTATTTATACTACAAATTACATCCTTATAGACCTCATATGTAGGTCACACGTGCGTGATCCATTTCTTCGGTCAGCGAGTTTAATTATTAGGCATTCCATATATAGTTACACGTGTTATATTTCATTTATTACGTTACAAGCGAGGTTAGATCTGCTTTCCACACACGTCTTTGGCGTTACGCAACTTCATAGGTTAGGTTGACAACACTGTTGACAGCTGACGATTTCGCTGACTCCGCCAAGACTTAGGTCCCACATCGTAGGACTTTTTAACGTCGCCTCCCACTACCTGTAGCGATTCTATTCAACGTTGTACACTCCATTTTTTGTTCTATACAATGACAGGTGACGTATCCCCCATCCAGCGTGCGGATGTTGTATCGCTGACAGCTGACGATTTCGCTGACATCACCCAAAGTTTCACGTAGAATGACGTTGATTATATACATCATCTTGTAAATTATTATTAAATGTCCTCGTGGTCGAGTGGTCTAAGGCGTCGATGGTAATCGGCAAACCTCTCTGGGTCGGTGGATCGATCCCTCGCGTAGTCAGATTTTTTAATAAAAAAATTAAATGGTTTAAAAATAGAAATAAAATTATTTTAAAATGGCGTATGGTGGGTTGCTGTGATATCCAATAATGATCGTGTATGGTGGGTTGCAGCATGAGAGATGACTGCATGACACGTGGCTGGGAAAATGTTAAGTTACTATGATAATGATGTATAGTAGGTTGCGGATTAATAAATTAATCCAGCTCCATCTAGCGGCAGATGTAGCATGCCCTTGATATGTACAAAAATTGGCAACCCTAGATTGACATTTGACAGATTGATAGTTGGCAACACTGGGTTGACAGATTGACAGATGACAGCTGACATGACATGTGACATGACAGCTGACACATGTAGGTTAGCCAACTTCGTGGCTATGCGTTGACAGCTGATTGACAGATGACATATGACACATGTAGGTTAGCCACCTTCGTGGCAGATCGTTGACAGCTGATTGACAGATGACAGATGACACATGTAGGTTAACCAACTTCGTGGCAGATCGTTGACAGTTGATTGACAGATTACACATGTAGGTTAGCCAACTTCATAGCTATGGCCACGCATGCGCACGTCACCGTCAAAAAATGCCAGAATGAACTTTAGCGATTTCCCATGTTAATTTACCTAAGGATTGCGCTCGAATCAGTGCTGCCTATTTACTGACGACTCTGGTGTTAAACACGACACTAAATTTTAAAGAACCAAATTCAGCCTGGCTTCTCAATTATCACATCGTTTCTTAGTGCGATACGCGCCACTTCGTGCAGCAACGAAGTAAACAATGATTTATACGTATTGTTTATAGTGCAAAATGCCGAGTGTAGGAATTAGGCAAAAATTATGGAAATTAAATCAACGATGAAGAAATTACAAAATAAATATGTTTGTTTATGCAAACGTACAACAAAGCAGGTCTGACTTTTATGCGTCAGTCACAAAACTTAAGGCAAATATGAAATATCAGGGAATAAAAATGTGCCAAAATATATTTGTTTATGTAAATATATACTAAATCAGGACTGACGTTTATGTCATAAAATTAAAGGCCAATATGAAGTATCAAGAAAAAATATGTTCCCAAAATATATTTGTTTATGCAAACGTACCCACACAAAATTAGGACTGAAGATATTTTGACTAGCTCATAAAAATTTAATACCAAACATTAATCAAATTAAAAAGAAATGACCATATAGTTTTCTCAGTCGTGAATTGGGCTTTTCTAAAAGACACCTTTGGGGATAATAATTTTCTGGGAGAGATGGGCGCCAATAATTCTCGTTTTTTGTTTTTAGAAAGCTAATGAGAATTATAAACTCCAGCTTTATCAAAGGGAAATTAATTAAAACTTATATAAAATGAACTTTTATAAATTGACACTTATAGTTTAATAATTAGGGTATTCTGTAATTTTAGATTGAAGATTGTCACCGTTTGACCCTGGCAACACTGTTAATACCAACTTATTTTTTGGTCTTTAACAAAAACTCGTGTATGATCAAAGACGTTTCTACTCTAAAAAAAATATTTAAAACTTATTTTTAGGTTACTAACATGAATTGCAAAAGTTTCTTTACAAATTTAATAATTCGTTTCAATCGAGATTACAATACAATAAAAACGTCCGGGTTGAATACTAAAACGGTCACGATTCACCCAATTATAGCCACTTAAGCTCAGCGTAGCGCAGATTATGAAGTTTCGGCTTGAAATTAACTAAGCCACATTCAAGCTTTGTACGGAATACATTCAGTTTCCTATAATCTAGCTAATCTGGTAACTTAGTATATGGTTACCGTTTCAGGATTGGTGTCTACACATAAGATACACGATGAATTCGGATGCCGGCATTTACCAGTGCCAAATACGCCACGGTTTTCCGCCAACCAAATATTCCACTACGAACGTAGTCTTAAGATTAATTGGTAAGTGCATATTTCCCGTAAAAGCTTACTTTATACAGGCAACAATAATACAAGGGTAGACTAAACAGACGGTTTGTAAACTAATTAGGCTTTTTAAAACACGCGACCTTTTGTTAGTTAAAATAGTTACCTGATGTAACAAATCATGTGTTTGATTTTGTTTTTGTACAATACGGGTTAATTTGAAAATATATACATTGTGATCCTAATTTGATACTTTCTTCTTACCGTATATAAAAGTTATTAATAACATTAAAAAAAAACTAAGTTATAACAAACTAATATTAATTTATTCTAAAATGTATTTAATATGGAAATATTTAAGTTTTCGTGCTTAAACACGTTAAACGTGAAAGGGAAACATTTAATTTTCCCGAAATGTTGTTCTTACTCTTCCTTGAATTACTCCTACCTGATCTGCAATTACCTACCTACTTGTTGAATATACTTTGATAGCATTTAAAATATGTTCTTAACTCACTTAATTTTTACATTACTATACCGAACAATTTAAATTCACTAATTAAGATAAACCCTCTTCTGAAATCACACTCTACTAAATTACAAAAAGCGGTTCACAACTGAATCGTGATTCATAAGAAGAACCGAAAAAATAGATAAAAATATTAACAGGAGTTACGTGTTGCTAAAACTGCTATATAGACAATAAATACTTCCTGTAAATAACTTTTATCTTATCATACTTTTATAAATTTTCCTAGAGATAAACATAGGTGTGGATTAAATGTAAATATATACATTATTCTTTAGCTTGACTTTGACCAATAAAGACATATTAAAAGTAGTTCTTAATTTTTTTTTAAAAAATAATTTTCTATAAAGAAAATTAAAACTGGCGCAGTCAGTAGGATTCGTGCGAGCTGTGAACACTGTGTAAATTCGCGAAAATCGTTTTCTTCGAGTGATAGACTTGGACTTTTAGTCACTATCGTGCAGACTTTCACGGTTTTAACGTGTTAACGTTTTAAGCGCGAATTCTAACCAACGGTTCCCATCTGTGGAAAACCAACTATCAGCCCTTCAGTGGACATCCCAAAGTAAGCGAAGAATCGGAGAAGAGGATTTTGGAAGCCAGTTTCTTCTGCAAACGTAAGTGCCAAATTTTCCTTTTTTCGCCTTTCCCATCATTCATAGGTTTCGGAAAGATAATTTAAGTTGAATATTAATTTTTTATATACACGCATGTTTTAATTTTTTTTTGATGAACGATTTTGATACTTTAATCGGAGCTTTTAGTAATATCTCAATTAGTGAAAGTAATTCAGATATAAGAAATATGACGCCAACACCTAGTAATTCTACCCCTCAACGGGTCCAAATTAATTGGGACCTTTTCAAATCTAAACTAAATAATATCAAACCTTTTAATGGTGAAAGTGATTATTTAAATAAGTTTATTAGTAGATGTGAGAAGTTTATTGATTCTTATAAGATTTATAATGATGTAGAATTAAACATACATGCATTTGAATATGTACAAGAAAAATTAGAAGGTCGTGCCGAATTTATGGTAGGCAATAGAGTAGAAATTGACACTTGTCCAAAATTAAAAGATGCTTTGTTACAAGCTTTTGCAGATCGACGTGATCTTGATTGTCTCGTCCAAGAACTAACAAGGACTAAACCTCTTAAAGGTGAACACCTTATTGATTTTGGCAGTAGACTACAATTAATTAAAAGAAGCGTAGTACAGAGAATAAGCAATGACCTTTACATTGATCAAAATGATAAAATTTGTCAAATTAACCATTATAATAAGACAGCCTTAAATACTTTTATAGCTGGTTGTAGTGGAATTCTAAAAAATAACATGCAACTTTAAAAGACCAAATTCTTAGAGGATGCTATGGCGTACGTAAAAGAATTTAATAATTTCCAAGATTTATACGGAAACATAAATGACAGAAATCTTCAACAAAATGGATTTTATTCTAATAATAACAGACAAACTTTTTCAAAAAATAATACAAATTTTAATCAAAATCAAAATTTTAATCAAAATCAAAATTTTAATCAAAATCAAAATTTTAATCAAAATCAAAATTTTAATCAAAATCAAAATTTTAATCAAAATCACAATTTTAATCAAAATCACAATTTTAATCAAAATAGATTCCAAAATTTTGTACCAAATAATCAACAATTAAATACACGTTTTCAAAATTATGCAACAAACAGGCAAAATTTCCCTAGTCAGCCAATTAATGTAGAACCTATCCCACAGAATAAAAAATCTTATGTGTCCAACACATGACTTTCCTATCTAGTTATTATAGGCATTTTCCGGTTATTTTGTACAACCTATTGCAGCATCTCTATAAATGTTCAGAGGATAAACTAAATATATACATTTTCCACATACATCTACCTCGAAACATTTTTCTATAGATATTCATTGAAAACGAAAATACAGAAAAATTTAAATTTAGCACTTTTCCATTACGGTCCATTTTAGAAAAATCATATATAAACAAAAATTATAGAAATCGATATCGCAAACAACTTTTAGTTCAACAATTTTCATAAAAATCAGAATTTTGCATATTTTGTCAAATTTCTCGAATACGGACCATTTCAGGAAATTTTGACATAGAAAAAAAATTATAGATAATAATATTAGAAGTAACTTTTATTTAAACAATTTTCTTCTCCAAACATAAATAACAGATATATTCCATAAAATATAAAAACGGCCTCCCATAAAGTACCCCCCCAGATGTTCCGACTTTGTCCAAAATCTAATCATATCACGTTAGGCCGAAATAAACCTTAAGTTTAAAATTTAATGTTTTTTCCTGTATCCGTTTTTGAGTTTTCTTCAAATTTCGAAATTTACACATTTTCTTAAATATCTCGAAAACAGTCCATTTTAGAAAAATTATGTATAGGACAAAAATTATAGAAAATTATATTGCAAACAACTTTTATTTGAACAATTTTTATAAAAAATTATTTTTTTTACATTTTCTCAAATTTCTCGAATACGGACCATTTTAGGAAAATTTTGCATAAACCAAAAATTATAGATAATTATATTAGAAGTAACTTTTATTTGAAGAATTTTCTTCTCCAAACGTAAATAACAGATATATTCCATAAAATATAAAAATGACCACCCATAAAGTACCCCCCAGATGTTCCGACTCTGCCCAAAATCTAATCAGCTCATTGGACGCTAAAACAAGGCTTAAGTTTAAAATTTGGTGTTTTTTTGTGTATCGGTTCATGAGTTATGCGTTATACAGACACAGACACAGACACAGACACAGACACAGACACAGACACAGACACAGACACAGACACAGACACAGACACAGACACAGACACAGACACAGACACAGACACAGACACAGACACAGACACAGACACAGACACAGACACAGACACAGACACAGACACAGACACAGACACAGACACAGACACAGACACAGACACAGACACAGACACAGACACAGACACAGACACAGACACAGACACAGACACAGACACAGACACAGACACAGACACAGACACAGACACAGACACAGACACAGACACAGACACAGACACAGACACAGACACAGACACAGACACAGACACAGACAGACAGACACAGACACAGACACAGACACAGACACAGACACAGACACAGACACAGACACAGACACAGACACAGACACAGACACAGACACAGACACAGACACAGACACAGACACAGACACAGACACAGACACAGACACAGACACAGACACAGACACAGACACAGACACAGACACAGACACAGACACAGACACAGACACAGACACAGACACAGACACAGACACAGACACAGACACAGACACAGACACAGACACAGACACAGACACAGACACAGACACAGACACAGACACAGACACAGACACAGACACAGACACAGACACAGACACAGACACAGACACAGACACAGACACAGACACAGACACAGACACAGACACAGACACAGACACAGACACAGACACAGACACAGACACAGACACAGACACAGACACAGACACAGACACAGACACAGACACAGACACAGACACAGACACAGACACAGACACAGACACAGACACAGACACAGACACAGACACAGACACAGACACAGACACAGACACAGACACAGACACAGACACAGACACAGACACAGACACAGACACAGACACAGACACAGACACAGACACAGACACAGACACAGACACAGACACAGACACAGACACAGACACAGACACAGACACAGACACAGACACAGACACAGACACAGACACAGACACAGACACAGACACAGACACAGACACAGACACAGACACAGACACAGACACAGACACAGACACAGACACAGACACAGACACAGACACAGACACAGACACAGACACAGACACAGACACAGACACAGACACAGACACAGACACAGACACAGACACAGACACAGACACAGACACAGACACAGACACAGACACAGACACAGACACAGACACAGACACAGACACAGACACAGACACAGACACAGACACAGACACAGACACAGACACAGACACAGACACAGACACAGACACAGACACAGACACAGACACAGACACAGACACAGACACAGACACAGACACAGACACAGACACAGACACAGACACAGACACAGACACAGACACAGACACAGACACAGACACAGACACAGACACAGACACAGACACAGACACAGACACAGACACAGACACAGACACAGACACAGACACAGACACAGACACAGACACAGACACAGACACAGACACAGACACAGACACAGACACAGACACAGACACAGACACAGACACAGACACAGACACAGACACAGACACAGACACAGACACAGACACAGACACAGACACAGACACAGACACAGACACAGACACAGACACAGACACAGACACAGACACAGACACAGACACAGACACAGACACAGACACAGACACAGACACAGACACAGACACAGACACAGACACAGACAC